CCAAATGTCCCCTGTAGGGCAGGGACCATCCTTTGAGAATCACTGCTGTTGTGGAAGAGTGGAGGAACAAATCATAAATCAGGTGAGATGTGGATTAAACCAGTAATACTAGATGCAAATTGCAGCTCTACCAATTATGATCTTGGATAAATTACCTCATTTCAGCCTTATCCAGTTTCCTCATATATAAACTAAGGATATAACACCTACTAAATAGGGCTTTGAAAAAGATCAAAAGAAATAAAACACGCAAAGCACTTTGCAGAATGCCTTATATGGTAAGCACTCAATATATGGTAGCTACTAATATTGTCGGGACCATTGTTGCAACCATAAGTATTTCCTCTTGTTCTTTACTTATTCATTCAACAGTTATTTATTAACTGGTGTCTGTGTGCCAGATCTTAATGAGCTCTACCTGAATTATTCCTCCTCCAACCCTTATCTGGTAGGGACTATTGTCATCTGTGTTTATTTTTTGTGAATAGTATTTTTAATACCAGCATAATACTCCATCATATCTATTTTCATTCCTGGCCCTGACCTCCCTTCTGAGATCCAGACCCACACATCTCCCTGGATGTCCTCCCAGGAACATTAAATTTGGCATGTTTGGCCATTTAGCCCACTGCCTCGCACCTAGTAAGTCTTTCCATAAAAGTGAGCTATTCCTGGTCATCGATGTTATTTTTTAGCCCCTGCTGTCTGATTCACCTCCTTTTGCTACTCCTCAGTGGGTTCCCAGAGTCACTTATTTTATGTCAGCAGCCTTGGCCCTGGGTTTAAGGCCTGATTTGTCATCCCTGTGAGGAGCCCAGAGGAGAATCCAGCTTGGTTTTCCCACCTGCAGGGAAGAACTGAAGCAACGAAAATGAAGACACTCCCATGGCAAGTCCACACTGCCCTAAACAATCAGTTTGGTGGGGAGAATTTGCTAGCGGTATGCAGGCCATAAAGTTCCCACAGTAGCCTCTGCCTCACTGGGTGTGCTAGCAGATGATTCCTGGGACTTGGCTGGTGCTTTCTGGCACTGCAGGGGCTTGTGCAAAAGAGTTAGATTTATCTTATTAGTATAGTTATTGCAACAGTGTCTACTGAGTGCTCCAGAACTGTAACTCACATTTATTGAGGCTGCAATGGGGAGAATTGGAAAGCCACAACCAGGGAAGCAGGGCAGCACAGTGGTAATGCCAGTAAGCGCTGGGTGGGACAGACCTGGGTTCAAGTCCTAACTTTGCTTCTCACTCTCTGGGTTATAGCTGGCAAGTGGCTCCATCACGCTCTCTGTGGGGTGGGGGTGATGCTAACCACAGTTAACACTAACACATGAGATTGTCTCTATTTGACCATTCAGAGCTACTTAAAATACAGAATTTATTAGTTTTTTAAATACAGAAAGGTATCATTCCCCCCTCATTATAACACTTGATGGCATTAAAAAAATAAATGATACACATAATACGGTTGGAAAATGCAAATCATACATACATTACAAAATGAAAAATGCTTTCATTGTCCCACCCTTTTTGATCTACAAATACAGCAATTTCACAGGACTCAACTTAGTGTCAGCCACCATTCTAAAGCCTTCTGTGTATTCAACGTGCCTAAATTTCTCAACAACCCCATGACGTAGGTACAGTCATTAATAATAATTCTCCTAAACAGCAGCAGAAGGATCTGGCGGGAAAGTGCCAACTTAACAGGCCTCCACAAAGTGTTTTAAAAGTTTGGGAAACACAGAGGTCAGTATATGCCATTGATTTAGTGCCAAACATGAATATTCGCCAGATGTCTGAGACGCGATCCCCTGTGGCGCCACTAGGTCCGAAGGGCAGCTCCTCACTAGACCAGATAGGGACCCAATTCCCGCGTCCCAGGACCAGCCTCTACGTGGACCCGAGAAAGGCGCGCCGGGCTCCGCCACGTCAACCAGTCCTGCTAGAGTAGGTGTATCCCCACGAACAAAAGCGTTCGGAGTGACTGCCGCCATAGCCACTCAATGCCGAGCCCAGGCCCGCTAGTCCGGTCTGAGCGGAACTTCCCATTGGTGGAGTTGACCTGAAGGAGGCGGGACAGAGCGGGAAAGTCCTGCCTCCCTTGACATTCTCAGCCAATCGCGGCGTCTGGGAGGCAGCCGCCGGGTTGGGTTGCACTGCATGTGGGGACCTGGGAGACCTGAGGGCGGGGCGGGGAGCAGGCCCGGATCTGCGGGGAGGGGACGCTTCCCGCGGGTGCGCGGAGCGAGGACGGTGACAGCCACGCGCGCGCGGCCCCGCGACTGCCGTCGGCCGCTGCCGTCTAGGGTTCCCGTCTCCGTGCGTCCCTGGCGGCCCCGGCCCGAGTCCCGGAGAGCCAGATCGCGTCCGCCCCGTCGCTCCCAGCTCGCGTCTCCTCCCCGCCGCCGTCAGGGCCTGTCCCCCAACTCCCCTTTCCGCCCGGGGCAGGGTCCTCGCGGCCCATGCTGGCCGCTGGGGACCAGCGCAGCCCAGACCGTTCCCAGGCCGGCCGGCCGGCCACCATGGTGGCCCTGAGGCCTGTGCGGCTCCTCCAAGGGGGCTAACAGGCCCAGAGCGCAGGCCTTGGGGCGCGAGGGTCCCGAGCCTGAGCCCCGCGCCATGGCCGGGGCCATCGCTTCCCGCATGAGCTTCAGCTCTCTCAAGAGGAAGCAGCCCAAGACGTTCACCGTGCGGATCGTCACCATGGACGCCGAGATGGAGTTCAATTGCGAGGTAACCGGCCGGCAGCCCCGACGGGCTGCGGCAAGGAGCCCGCGGAATCCCCGCTGTGGGGCCCTGGCGCGCGTCTGACACGGACCAGGACGCCCTCGCCGCCGTGACAGTCGAGGTGGAAGTTTGAAGGATTCAGTTTATATCTCCTTCGGGGCTTAGATAGAGACGGACAGAACTGGAAGGGGCCATCTAGGCCCAAATCGTCGTGTTAAAGATTATTGCTGCTTTTTTTCCTAGGGCTTTTGGGTTTAGCACTTCCTGAGGGTTGTTTTCATTCATTGTTATTGGAAGAGGCTGGAAGCTTCCCTGGTAGCAAATTCTGGATTTCAGTGTCAGGCTTAAGCTTAAACTCTAGGGAGTTTTTTGTTGTTGTTTTGTTTTGTTTGTTTGTTTGTGTACTTCTTTAGGTGATATTGTTATGTACCCAGATATTAAAAGTTGCATCTTGTTTGTTGGAAAGCCTATACTTGTTTCCCTTTTCCAAAGCTTATACATTCTGGAAAAAACTCTGAGGAAAGAGGTGATGATGTCTTATACTTAACTTTGGTTCCATCGTGATGATAAAAGCTATCATTTGTTGACTACTTTCTAAGTGCCAGACATTCGCACATTTAATCCTTACACTAATTCAATGAGGTAGGTGCCCCAAACTGTATATCCAGTAAATGGCAAAGTGGGGTTTTGAATGGAGCTTATAGCCAATACAGTACTGCTTCTCAAGTAATTTAAGTTCTTGCTACTCAGAGTGTGGTTTGTGGACCAGCAGCATTGGCAACAGTAACCTAAATCAGGGGTTGGCATACTTTTTCTGTGCTGGGCAATGTAGTAAATATTTTTAGCTTTGCAGACTAGAAGGTTTCTGTTGGAACTACTCAAGTCTTTACCATTGTAACACAAAAGCAGCCTTAGACAGGATGGACTTCCAGCATTACAGTGTAAGGAACCCCACTGATCCATTCCCCTGTAAAATCAGTGGAAATTATTTTTAAAAATGCAACTCTTGGAAGCTGGGCGTGGTGGCTCATGCCTGTCATCCTAGCACTCTGGGAGGCCGAGACAGGAGGATTGCTTGAGGTCAGGAGTTCAAGACCAGCCTCAGCAAGAGCGAGACCCTGTCTCTACTAAAGATAGAAAGAAATTAGCCGGACAACTAAAAATAGAAAAAATTAGCCGGGTGTGGTGGCAAGCACCTATAGTCCTAGCTACTCGGGAGGCTGAAGCAGGAGGATAGCTTGAGTCCAGCAGTTTGAGGTTGCTGTGAGCCAGGCTGATGCCATGGCACTCTAGCCCAGGCAGCAGAGGGAGACAATTTCAAAAAAAAAAAAAGGCAACTTTTGGCCGGACACGGTGGTGGCTCAAACCTTGTAATCTCAGCACTTTGGGAAGTGGGGATAGGAGAATTGCTTGAGGCCAGGAGTTTGAGATCAGCCTGGGCAATGTAGTGAGACCCCATCTCTACAAAAAAATTTAAAAAATTAGCTTGGTGTAGTGGCGCATACCTGTAGTCCTAGCTACTTGAGATGCCAAGGCAGGAGGATTGCTTGAGCCCAGGACTTTGAGACTGCAGTGAGCTATGACTGTGCCTGTGCATAGCCACTGCACGCTAGCCTGGATAACAGTGAGACCTCGTCTCAAAAAAAAAAAAAGCAACTATTTAAACCCTTTAGAAGTAGTGCTAAGGGCAAACAACAAATGAAGAAACATCTATTCAAGAAAATCTATGAAAATTCAGTAAGAATGGTGAGAAACTATGGTATTTGAACCAAGACCATTCCCTCCCTCACTACTCCCAGCTTAGTAAGGTAGAGATTCCACTCCAGACTGCTGTAACCTTTATGACGGGGTACCCTCTCTGCCATCTTCCAGTCAGAGGGCTTTCTTCCCAGGAAGAGCAGTACTTCAGCATTTCTCGTCGTACCCAGAGCTACTTGTTGCTGAGGCTAAGTCCTGTGTGAGTGTACTTGAAAGATGGGGCTCCCTTCTTCCATGCAGTGCTTACTTGTGGACTAGGGCTGCAGCTCGGGCACGGCATACCGAGATCACTGAGGCTCCAGTTCTTGCTCCAGCCCTGGCTTATTGGTGGTGGTTCTATGGCAGGAAAGGCAAGATGAGACCTCAGGTTATTGTGTTCCCTGTGCTCCCTCCCACCAAATGTTCAGTCCCCAGAGTGGGGTTATCTCTCAGAGAGGAGCTTGCCATGATTCCCTCCTCCAGCTCCAGAGCCCTGCCTCAGAGATTTTACCTGAGAGAAACAGGTCTTAAAACAGATAGCTCCTAATTTCTTCCCAATAGAAGTGACTTCATTTGCAACACAGTGTTGAAGAAGTTCATGCCTAAGAGCACCCTTGAGAACAGTGGAGGTTTGGGTAAGAGACAACTGGAAGATTTATTGATTTAATAAAGATACAATGTAGACTATAGGCCTCCTAGTTTATTGGAAGGATGTAGGGAATAAGACAGCTTGGAGGAGGCCTCCTTGGGTCAGAACAAGTATCAAACATTGACCTTAGACCTCTGGGGTGATGGATGTCCTCATTGTCCTTGTTCGATCATTACATATTGTATGCATGTGTCAGAATACCAAGGTACCCCCTCCAAATATGTACAACTATTATGAATCAATAAAAAACAATTTTTAAAAAGTATGTGGCAAAGCTAGAAAAAATGTGATTTTCTTAAAACAGCCACAGTTTAATTGGATGAGTTTGTAGAACAAGTTATACCTCCGAGCATTGTTGAAAATAATTGAACAATAAGGCACAATTAGTGGAGTTTAACAACTGAGTGTGGTCAAGGAAAGAGAAGAAGAGCCCCATCAAAACCACTGTCACCCGAGGATGACCGTGGGCATACTCAAAGCTGTGTCTCCCCGAGGAGCAGCATCATAGGCCTTAACACTGTGTGTGGGAAATAGTTTTGACTAAAATAATTCAGCTGGTCACTAAAAAAATAAATAAGTCCTGGAGAGGGGGAGACCAGTCCCCAGAGTTGGTACTATGTATTATATTATCTAAAATGTTCAGTTTCCAACAAAAATTATGAGACATGCAAAGAAACATTAATGTATTACCCATACACTGGGAAAAAAGCTGGCAAAAAGGAATTGCCTGTGAGAGTGACCAGCAGTCAGATTTAACAAAAAAGGCTTCAAATTAGCTATTATAAATATGTTCGTAGAACTAAAGGAAAGCTTGATGACAAAGAGTTAAAGGAAGGTGTGAGAAGCTATTGTATCAAATAGAGAATATCAATAAGGAGATAGGAATTATAAAGAAGAATCAAAATTCTGGAGTTGAAAGTACAATAACTGTCTGGGCACGGTGGCTCACGCCTGTAATCTTAGCACTCTGGGAGGCTGAGGTGGGAGGATCGCTTGAGGTTAGGAGTTCAAGACCAGCTCTGAGCAAGAGCAAGACCCCATCTCTACTAAAAATAGAAAAAATTAGCCGGGCGTGGTGGCACGTGCCTGTAGTCCCAGCTACTCAAGAGGCTGAGGCAGGAGGATCACTTGAGCCCACGAGTTTGAGGTTGCTGTGAGCTAGGCTGACGCCATGGCACTCCAGCCTGGACAACAGAGTTAGACTCTGTCTCAAAA